AGTAGCCCTATAAAACATAGGTCTAGCCCTATATGACTAAAAGCAAGGAAAGGGGTCCTTTTACTTTATTTTACTTACGTGTCCCTTCCATTATTTGGTGATGAAACTGACCAGCACACTACTGTAACCCAAAACCAGGGCAGCAGTGACATGTGACCTTGCCATTACTTGGTGACAGAACTGACCAGCACACTACTGCAACCCAAAATCAGGGCAGCAGTGACCAGTGACCTTGCCATTATTTGGTGACAGAACGGACCAGCACACTACTGCAACCCAAAATCAGGGCAGCAGTGACCAGTGACCTTGCCCTTACTTGGTGACAGAACGGACCAGCACATTATCACTGCCAAACAACAGGGCAGAATTGATGAGTGACCCTGGAAGTATACAGTAACAGAACTGACCAGTACAATACCACAGTAGCCCACCAACAGGGCAGCACTTACCAGTGAACCTGCAAACTATATGGTGCCAGAACTGACCATACCTTATTACAGCAGCCCACCAACAGGGCAGCACTGACACATATGATACTGACAGTGAAATAACCCCGATTATAAAGACTCTCACTGGTAACAACAAAGTACTAGTAGTTAATTTATCCTCTTCTCACTCAACAAATGCTTCACTACTACAGCCACTCACCCATGCTCAAACATGCTTTCTTAATAACTGCACCATTCTGCTTATACTGTGCATACATTTAGTTCAACGGTTAAGAAACATTACACGAATATCATATCGACATAACAATTGCCAAGGGGAAAATATGTAACATCATCTTAATCCACATCAGAAAATGTGTTTACTAGTTCTAGTAACAAACATGGTGTATGTTTGTGACCAATAAACATATAAACAAAAAAGCAATAGTCATAACAACAAACATACAGTGGTATCTCGATATACATTCTTTATCTGTTCCAGATCATCATGGGCTTATACCAAACAGGACGTATATTAAACAAATTTTTCCATAAGAAATAAAGGGAGAATGATTCATTTGTTCCCAAGACAAAAACCCTATTCTTATTGGCATATTAAACATTGAAGGGGTTGTATAAAAACATTTAAACACTGCTAAATACCAAAATAGATAAATATGAAAGCAGCTGGAAGAAATAAAAACTTCACATGTCGAGTGCCGACTAGTATGGTACTGTGGAGAGAGGACGAGAAGGAAAAGATGTGATTGTCTGGAAGGAGAGTCCCCTCCCAATAAAAGTTCAGGAATCTGGTGATTTTTCATTTACTGTCTCTTTTCCCTGCCTGGACGTGGCTGAGCCTCACAAGTTCTAGCGCGCAAATCATATTTAGAAGGGAAAAAAAGCCGTATACCAAGCAAATTTGTTGGCGTCTAAGCAGGACGTATACCGGGGTACCATTGTATATACAAACATAACAGTGGTGAACTAACATACTAATTTATGAACAAACAGAACATTTGTGTGAACAAACAAACAACAAAAGATCAAACAGCTCAAAAAAGAAAAAAGAAAACATTTTAATGCATCAACAGCAAACTGAAATCTTAAAATGGAATAAGCAATAATAAAATTAGCGTGCATGCATGGTCCTATTTACATATAGGTAGTGATTCTGCAAACAAGTTTCCCAAGTCTGTTACACCACAATATACAAACAGCATCATATGTGTATAAACAGCACTCGCTGTAGCAAAGGCAGTGTCAGCTGTTTGAAGACAGCTTTAACTGTACCCAGACATCTCAGCTGTTTACAGCATCAGGTGTAGCCAAACACAGATGTTTAGAAAGAATCAGCTACATCACAACAGCTGTAACTGTCCCCAGACACATCAGCTGTTTACAGCATCAGGTGTAGCCAAACACAGCTGTTAGAAAGAATCAGCTACATCACAACAGCTGTAACTGTCCCCAGACACATCAGCTGTTAACAGATAGCATCAGGCGTAGTCACACACATCAGCTGTTTATTAAAAGTATTAGCTGCTTCAAGACAGCATCAGGTGTTCATAAACAGTTACAGATGTTTCAAGACATCTTGTACTTTCACCAGACACATCAGCTGTTTACAGACAGCACTAAGGTCACAAACTGGTTATGACCTTGAAGCAACACTCTATGCTGTATCTATCAATCAACTGGGTCCTCAGCCTTGCAATAATCGCTATGTCCCTGGCAGATGTGAAGTTCTAGTTCCGGTCTTATACAATCTGCTGGTTTCTAATACTGAAGCAGAGAAGGAGAGCTCTGCAACAGTCATGTGGAGATGCTATTTTCAGTCAGGGGAAAAGGTCTTTAAAAAACAAAAAGGGTTAATTTCACCCCCAACAGATCCAGATCTCACATAGGACTCAGACAATGTCAACGCTGAAGCATCAGACTTGGGAGTTGAAACTCAAGGCTGTCCAGACGATTTAAGTTATTAATCAACCAGGAAACAGACCAAGCGAAAGCCAAGAACAAAACAATTAAAGAATCCACTGGAATAAATGTGCATCTGTTCGGCAGCGCATACCATAAAAACCTGGCAAGATGAACTAAAATGCCTCAACTCTGCAGTAACACACTGACTGGATTACCACAAAATATACCATGTAATAAATTGTGCAGCACACTGTTTGTGCCCCCTCCTTTTTGTAAACAGATTTTGTATAAGTTTTCAAAATGAACAATTGTCTGATGTATCGAACATCTATCGTTTTCATGCGCAGTAACTGCTAAATGACACCAGATCACTGATCAGTTGTGTGAGGGGGAATAAGGAGGAAATATATTTGGTAATTAAACATAATAATGTAAAATAATGTCTTTTAAAGAAAAAACAAAAGCAATAAAAACGTAAAAATATGTGCCTAACCAAAAAATTAAAACTGAAGTGGCTCATGTAAACCGCAAAGTCAAAAGAGATTACATAAATGAGAAAGCCACCTATTTACTTCACAACTCAATGTGGCTGTTTTGAACACAGCAACTCTCCTACTCAAATAATAATGAACGATCTTGGATGTTTTAACATTTTAATCTAAGTGTTACACTGAAACTACATCTTTTCCACACATTTATTTCGTTTCTTTTTTGGGCAGTCAATTTCAGGTTATGACTGCTATTAGTGACTTGTACCTGACTGCTTTAGACCAGCTGGCAACTGAAAATGCCCAGGCATGTTAAGCTCCAGATCAATGAGTGACATCTAGGGCTTGTAGAATGGAATCATACATTCTACTGAATGTGGACTTGTATCATAGATTATCAACCAACTATGTGAAGTTTGCTAAATCTATGTCTTTTAAAGCAGCCCATGGTATGCTATGAGCTAGTCTCTGATACCAAATATCCATCCGAAAAAATTGAAAAACATTCAGACTGATAAAATTTTGAAGAAAAAACATAAAAATGTTTATCTTGTTCAACCATAAACTTCTGTTTAAAACTGCAATCTTTATATGGTGATCCTTCATGATGATAGTGTTTTCACTGCCACTGGGTAATTGTGCATGCTGAATATCCTTTACACAGCAATTCTGCGTAATATAATGCTTTCTGATGTCAAACTGGGTGCTCCTCTTCCAAGTCCAGCGAGGCTGTGTGTGGAGGCAACACCGTCAATCATTTAACATAACATGGTTTCATTGACAGAAAGGACTAGTCCCTACCAAGATACATTTGGCAGGGCATGCCTGCCTCAAAACTCCTGCAAATAAGATCAAACCAACAAATGGAAAATAAGGCCAGATCTCCTCTGCAAGCACTCATGTATGCTTATTAATACACATGATTAATATTTACAAATTATAATCTCACATCTTGCCAAGGTGTAGAATTGGCTCAGTGTGGCTGAAAACAGATTCAAGGTGTTCAAAACCTTTTAGAGGTGACAAAAAATGTGCAGCAATGTTGGTCTATTTCCTACTTTATCATCACCTATTTTGATGTGCTTCATTCTCTTTGCACCATTCCCTTTACACCATCTACTTCCTTCATTTGCTCTGTTCTCCCCACGCACCATGTCTATTCCACAAAGTTTTCTCAAGGTTCAACATTTTGAAAGTGCAGGTGCTCATGGGCCGGAGCACAAGCAAAGAAACTCCCAGGGCCAGATTTGACACGCAGGCCACCAGTTGAATCACCCTGCCCTACACCGTCTACCTCCCTAATTCGCTCCATTCTCTTCACCACATCCCCCTCTCTATTAACCTGTTTTCCTTCCCTCTACACCCCTCCCCTTCCTGATCTGGCTGTGCTCAGGTTACAGCACAAGCCCCTATGTAACAAAACTGTTACAATGCAAAGATCATGAACCAAGCACAGCTTCCTTGGTTGTATTACAACAACACTGAGAATTCAACATAAAACAGTACACACACAAAAACTCAAATAGGCACTGAGATATATAGGTCTCCGGCATGATGAGAGGATGCCAGCAGCACTAGAATAACATGGGAGATAAGTGCAATTATTCATGTGGAGATTTAAAAAAAATTTTAAAAATCAGCAATGGAGATAAGCAAACATATATTTCTGAGACAACAAAATGAATGCATCTGTTCTGCGAATTTATTCTTTTCTCGACTGCAAGAGTAGTTAATTGAACAGCGCAGAAACTAAATTAACAGAAACATAAAAGGGCCTAGATCTTCCTTAACCAAAACTTCATTTTATTTCAAATCTCAATCAAAATACAAACGAATCTGAAAATATGACAGCAATCCCAAAAAATAAAGTTCACTGATAAATTAAGTTCTATCCTTTGTTAGCAGTGCTGGTATAACATCGAACTTTGCTTTTGTTTTATTTTGAATGGCACAATGAGCCACACATATATACAAACAGGAACTTCTCAAACACTAAAAAAAAAAAATGGAGTACTGGAATAAAAATACCTTAATGTAAAACTTTTCAATAAACAACAAAAAACTCAAGGAAAAATGAGAATTTGTGAGGAGAAACATTTCTGTACTAAGTACTTCTACAATGCAAAAAACACTGTTTCTATCCTCGTTCTGTGTGGCCCCATTACACAGATTCATAACCGGCCTTGCGAGATCTTCTGCGTCCGATGAGGTAAGCAATCAGCACAATGACCACCAGGCCGGCCAGGGCAGCTCCCACGGCAATAGGGACAACACTGCTGGTCTGCTCATCATTCGAGCACTCGGTGACTGAAAGAGATATACGTGTGTCCCAGCATCAATGGCGTGCATCTGGTTTATGTGTAAAATGTAATGACCACTAAAACAAGACTTATTAAACCTCTGTAGAATATTACAAGCATAAGTCTTCTTCTTCTTCTTTTTTGTTTGCCCTATAAAAAAAAAAAGGGTAGCTGATACAGTTTTGTGGTTTACAGCTAGGCTTAATATCTGCACCTTTCTGGTCTGACACAGCCAATTTCAGCAAATCCTTAATTAGACAGCTTTTATGACACCCTTGTTAAGGAGATCACTGGGTATCATTGCCGGAGCTAGAGTGTTCATGCTTTGTACAACGTCACTGGCAAGCCTGTTTTGGAGAGTGACCAAGCCATACTGGACCAGACCCGGTGCAATGAAGCAGTTCCTCTTGTCTGTAACTTTAACTTGATCAAGATGAACACAATTTCTATCCCAGCTAGGATGTTTATTATTAGTCCCCCGTAAGCTATATATATATCAAAAAAATTTCAAACATTAACTCCATTTCTGGTCTCTTGGAACTCGTGCCAAAAGGGGGTTTTAATATATATTGCATAATTTACTGCTGGGGATATTCTGCTGCATTATTTTGGACTCTACAACATGACATCGTTGCCATCAAGCCAACACCACCATATCATTCCCATCAAGCCAACACCACCATATCATTGCGATCAAGCCAACATCACCATATCATTGCCATGAAGCCAACACCACCATATCATTGCCATGAAGCCAACACCACCATATCATTGCGATCAAGCCAACATCACCATATCATTGCCATGAAGCCAACACCACCATATCATTGCCATCAAGCCAACATCACCATATCGTTGACATCAAGCCAATATCGTAGACCAATTAGGTGTGTTTCCATTGAGGTCTTGCATCTGCCATAGTGTTGCCATCATCAACCAACAGTCTGCATACAAAAGCCAACAGATATCATTGCCATGAAACGGATCATTGCACATGAAAACATTACCATATTCAAGTTCTGGCAATCAACACCACCTAAAAATCCAGAACACCACCATGTGTTGCCATGAAGCCAACCACCCGGACTTTCATTGCCAGACTTTACAGCCTGTGAGCCAACACCACCATAGTGTTGCCATGAAGCCAACACCACCATAGTGTTGCCATGAAGCCAACACCACCATATCATTGCCATCAAGCCAATATCACAATATCGTAGACCATAGGTGTGTTTCCTTTGAGGTCGTGCATCTGCATCCAACTATGTAAGTCTTAGATTAAGCACATGATCCTTCTGTTTACAAAGCCTGGACAGGAACTCCTGCACGCATAAAACAAAACAAAAAAGACTGCAGAGACAGCTGACTTACTTTCACCAGTGGAAAATGTAATGTCTCCTTTGTCATTGAACGCTTTGTACTTGAAGCCTTCAGTTATCAGCGTCACCTACAACAGGACAGGGAGAACCAGTAAACTGTGAGTCTATGAATTCACTATTTCTTCCTTGACTTAAATTGTGTGTCAATTTCTACTTTGGGAGGTGTTCTATCTTGAGATATCTGGATACACTTCAGCCCTGTTTAGTTTTTGTTGCCGCCTATCCTGAGATGTATGGATACACTACAACCCTGTTTAGTTTTTGTTGTCATCTATCCTTGGATGTCTGGATACACTTCAGCCCTGTTTAGTTTTTGTTGTCATCTATCCTGGGATGTATGGATACACTACAACCCTGTTTAGTTTTTGTTGTCATCTATCCTGGGATGTATGGATACACTACAACTCTGTTTAGTTTTTTGCTGTATATCCTGGGATGAATGGATACACTACAACCCTGTTCAGTTTTTGTTGCTGTCTATCCTGGGATGTATGGATACACTACAACCCTGTTTAGTTTTAGTTGCCGTCTATCTGGGGATGTATGGATACACTTCAACCCTGTTTAGTTTTTGTTGTCATCTATCCTGGGATGTATGGATACACTACAACCCTGTTTAGTTTTTGTTGTCATCTATCCTGGGATGTATGGATACACTACAACTCTGTTTAGTTTTTTGCTGTATATCCTGGGATGAATGGATACACTACAACCCTGTTCAGTTTTTGTTGCTGTCTATCCTGGGATGTATGGATACACTTCAACCCTGTTTAGTTTTCATTGCCGTCTATCCTGGGATGTATGGATACACTACAACTCTGTTTAGTTTTTGTTGCTGTCTATCCTGGGATGTATGGATACACTACAACCCTGTTCAGTTTTTGTTGCTGTCTATCCTGGGATGTATGGATACACTACAACTCTGTTCAGTTTTTGTTGCTGCCTATCCTGGGATGTATGGATACACTACAACCCTGTTTACAACCCTGTGTTCAGTGTTGTTTGTTGATGTATAGGAAACACATGCTCTATTTCAATTTCCTGAGCTTTATGGATATATTACAGTCCTGTTCAGTTTTGTTAGCGGTCTATCCTGATTGTATAAGAAACACATGCTCTATTTCAATTTCTTGTCTCTTCTAGCTGTCAGTGTTCATGTGCTGACAAATTCCACTTCCTGTTGTCAGCATTAGAGCTTTTTGTCTCACTGAAGGTAGCTGTCAGCTTGGAGATGCAGAGGTAAACACTGTCGCAAGGTTTACAAGTCAGCACCCCGCATTCTACTCTGGAATGAAGTATCCTATGATCATGTTTATGCTGTTCTTTTGTATTCTGGTACAGTCTAGTGTGCTTTGCCTTCTTATTTCTTGGAATGTAGAGGTACCCTGAGGTCTAGTTCTTTTTTGCCTTCTACCTCAGTGTTGAGTTTCTTGTGATCTGGTCTGTTAAAAACACTGTCTTCACATGCAAGATGGAAATATCATGCAGTGTGCGCAGACGCTTCCTGGTGATTTAGTTTGTTTTCCCACATCTAAAACGGTTGCAGTGTAGATATTTGTTGTGGTTATTGGGTCCACTATTCGCTCTGAAGCGAATCTTTCTACCCTGGTGTGTAGATTTCTGTGTGGTTTATCCTATTGCTCTGTCTTCTACCCTGGTGTGTAGCCTTCTTATTTGTGTGTGGTCTAATTTTCTCTTCTATCTTCTACCCCTGTGTTAGTTTGTTTTATCTTCTAACTTCAGTGTAGATTTTGTTGTGGTTTAATTTGCTCTGTCTTCTACCCTGGTGTGTAGATTTGTGTGTGGTCTAATTTTCTCTGTCTTCTACCCTGGTGTGTAGATTTTGTTGTGGTTTAATTATCTCTGTCTTCTACCCCGGTGTGTAAATTTGTGTGTGGTCTAATTTTCTCTGTCTTCTACCCCGGTGTGAGGATTTGTGTGAGGTCTAATTTGCTCCGACTTCTACCCCTGTGTGTAGATTTATGTGTGGTCTAATCTGTTCTGTCTTCTACCCCGAAGTGTAGATTTGCTTGTGGTTTTAATTTGTTCTGTATTTTAACCTGGAGTTTAGAGCTATCTGCAGTCTAGTTCAGAGTATACATTTTTAATACAGCAGGCAGACATACCTTATAGAGTTGACTTTTAAACATACAAAGATGTAACTCACTTTAATTTATTTTCTTTACCTTTGTCTTGTTCTTCTACCATTTAACAAGCAACAAGACTCTAATTACCATCTCTTCATCTTCTCCAACATTTCCTGTATGGGTCATTTCTAGAGGGATAAAAGTTTCTGCTTCTTGCTTTTCTGGTTGCCGTGAATACAGCCATATCGTGCTGTCGATACAGTTTCAACAATGTTATCTTCCATCTTGTGCTTGACCTATCTTGTGCTCTACGCCCTTCGTACACGCCTTGTACGCTATGGCACCACAAGGCACTCCCTCCAAGTAAGCAAACAATCTGATTTGCTGTCTTTGTATGTAATCCAGAAATGGGTCTGTGCTGGCTTGTTCTTTCATGACCTCATTTCTGATTTTATCACAGTTACCCGTTCAGACAACAAATTCCTTCTGGTTGTGTCCCATGGTCGCTGAACAAGAAAGCAGTCAGTAACTTTTACATATACGATGGTAGTTTTCAGTGTGTAAACAAGCCGTCCACTTGGCTTGACTACAGATCACTGCCACCGGTACAAGAGGTGGACACTCTGGATGTCAAATTTCAAGCAATGTTGCTAAAGATTAGTTTCTGTCGCAGCAAGAATTTACTACTTGTTTGAATTTGTCATTCGAAGTTGTGATTGTTCTTTTATTCCACTGATAAAAAGAGTTGAGCTGAAACATTTGGTTATCACTGTACCCATTGAATTTCGGTACATAGGGAAAATAAACATACCTGTGCCATTATAAACATAACTGTGGTAATGCTCACACATGTTCTGATATAAACAAAAATGGTTTTCATTTTTTTTTTAAATGTTAATTTTTCCTGTTAATGGAAACTTCTAGGACCCCTGTATCTGTTTAAGTCTTTCAATTCCCCTTCGTTCAGTCATGTTCTGTGTTGTGTTCCACATGTTCTGTGTTCCACATGTTCTGTGTTGTGTTTCACATATTCTGTTCCACATGTTCTGTGTTGTGTTTCACATGTTCTGTGTTGTGTTCCACGTGTTCTGTGTTGTGTTCCACATGTTTTGTGTTGTGTTTCAGTCTCTAGCAATGCCGGTCGGTTCTCCTTTCTTACCTCATCTATGGCTAGACTTGTCCTGGCATGGCAGGTGTAATAGCCACTGGTAGATGCCTCCAAATAGTCAGGTTTGCTGAAGCGAACAGTGGCAGTGGTATCTGAAAAGAAAGAAAATAAGTGTACTTAAATATATAAACACCAAACAGGTTTGGGGGGGGGGGGGGGGATTTATGAAAGAATAAAACTAGTCAGCTTCCCAATGCATGACAAACAGCCAAATGAATGTTGCAGCTAAAAAAAGCCCTCATCAGTTTACAGAAACATGGACAATGATATAACTACACATAGAAATACACAAAAAATAACTTATCAGGCTATCAAGGAGCCACTCCACAGCTGAACAGTCCCCACACAAAATACCCATCACTGTAATTGTTAAGCTCAAAGACAAAATCCAACAGCTTGCACATTGTATAAGAGGCAGCCATTAGAGGTACCAGCACCAACAGTCTGTCACTAGAACTGCTACTCCTTGTTGATGAAAGCAGCAGTCAGAATTAGCAGGTGCATACACAACACATGTTAGAAAAACGTCGTTATAATTCTCATAAAGTCTATCCTGAGAAATAAGATGAAGTGAAAAAGCAGAAAAAACTGAAAGTATCGACCAATTTATATAACAATTTTGTGTTCAAACCTATGGTCATAAAGTAGCAAGCTAGCCACAGCGATTTGTTGCTGCAATTTTTCACCGTTGATATGTCAACGCATAAAGGGAAGTAATCAATAAACACAAAAGAAGCATGAAAATTAACTGCATTCATCCCCTTTAGTAAATAAAAATCATTAATTTAGTAGAATCATACAAAAACAGGCCAGACATTCAATTGAACAGTTGATTGTTGAGTCTTTTCTTTGTAGGAAAAAAAAAAGCCAACTTTTAAAAAGAAACTTACTAGGATTAGTTGAATTCGGCAGATGCTCATCATGGACATACGTAATCGTAATATTGGAGACGTAGTACTTGTTTCCGCCCTTCGACTGGAAGATGTACTCTATGCTCCAGTTGTCAAAGAATTTGAAGGTTAAAGATTCGTTGGATTCAGAGGAGCAGTTTGTCTCACTAGCAGGTACTTTAGGCACATCAACTGTGACGGTCTTTGACTGATTCTTCTATTTAAGAGAAAAAACACACATCATTTTACCATTAATGCAGGAATACTCTTATACAATACTGAGTGCTTGGAAATGGAAATAAAAATAATAATTAAAAACTAGACTTATCCAAAAAAATGTCTAACGAGAATCCTGCAAATTTTCCTGGCCAGACAAAATCCCAAATGAAGAAATGAAAAGGAAAACAAAATGTTCATCACCGGCAAACATTTTTAAAAGTAAGAAGAGCTCCACATTTTGTAGAATGCCGCGTAATACTTTCACTCTAAAGTTTTAATGGCAGAAGATAAAATGAGAGTGGAAGACCTAAGAAAATCTGGAGAAAGACAACACAAAGGAAAATGAAGGAATATAAAATGACATGGGATACTGCTGGCAGAGAAGCAACAGACTGGCAGCAATGAAGATGATCAGCCTCATGTATCAACAATGACAGGAAGAGGGAATACAAATAGATCAATGCAGCATATTCAAGCATATTTTCGTTGTCAGATAAATGCTGCAAAAAGAGATGCCATCTGGCCTGTTAGGGCCACAATGAGGATAAAGCAGCAAGTCAGAGAAGGAGATATGGACTGCAAGTAGCTTCCATAGAGGTTGCCGGACTCCTGATATAACTTTCCATTACCAGAAATCAAAACACTTTTCAAAGGTAAATACTAAATTCAAGGAATTGTGGAGAGAACAAACCCCTAGTAAACATCCACAGCTCCCATGAGCAGACTCAACAGAAAGCAACATACAACAAATTTTCTGTCTACGGACAGGACACTGCAGGCTCAACTACCACATGCATAAATAAAGATTGTACAGCCCCTACAATGTGCCTGTCAAACAGGAATAGAAACACCTGAGCACATTCTGCAGACCTGCCCACTCTACCTACAACTTCGACAAGACGTTTTTCAGATGTTTTTAAATCTCTAAGCAGCAGATTTTGCATTAGCTGAAAACTGTAATTCTGCGACACAGATCTAACAAAAACTCATTTGTGCTTGTTTCGTGTTTGGTTAGAATACTGCTGACAAGGTAGACGTGTGGTGGAAAGAAACAGATTCTATCGTCAACACAAAACATAAACAGAGTACTGACTAAAATATCATAAAATAACATTTGACAGGAGCCTGTTGTTCAAGTATCACGTGGAAGAGGCAGTATTAGGGATAAGGAAAGGTATCAATGCGATGAATATGATGGCATCAGTGGACATGGAATAGAGAATGCTCTACAACTCTATCCGCAACCGATTATCTCAGTGACTGAGCTTGCATAATCTAACAGCCAAACAAAGAAGCTGAAACACAGGCCAAATGTAGCTATGCGAGTCATTTTAGATCTACATGGCACATGCTAATCATGTGCAAGCTGCACATACTGGCAATGCCATCCATATAAGAAGGGTACAAGATGTTACAGGAAAAAATGTAACCCTAAAGTTGCAATATACAGGGAACACCTTCTACACAGGGCTTGGGGGATAGTAAACGGCTGAAAAGAGGAAACTCTTGAATGGCATCGGCAGAAGTCACAATCAGAAATGCTTGAGAAATGGGTCACAAAATGGCCTTGCATAGAGTGACAGTTATCTTGGACCAAGGCTGCCACGAATGGATAGCTGGTGAAACAGGAGTATCAGTGCAATAGTTGATCAAGGAAAATTTAAGCCCAGAAGACATTATATATACCGATGGGTCTGTAGTAAGTAACAAGAGTTGGTGGGGTTTTACTGCAAAGGTTGATGGGCACTGTTTGAAAATAGGAAGCCTAACATATAACATCACAACATCCAGTATGACAATGAAGGTGGAGGCTGTAACAGCAGCTTTTCAATAGATTAAGAACCACCCAGCCAACATGCTATAACAGTAAAGAATTCAAAGAGGCTGCCTTGGAAAACAGAAACTGGTGTCCTAAGTGCAGAGTGGTTTGCACCATGAGATTACTCAGATCAGGTATCATGGATTTTCTTTCAAGGATATTCAGGTGTGCATGGCAACAGGCAAGACAGACTGGCTGTGCAGCCACTCCTCTGGGTGGTGAGCTACTTTATAATAAAGCAGACAGTTCCACAGAACAGCCAGAATATCCCTACACTGAAAGACTCATTCAGCAGAGGGAACTAAAAGATACTCAACACAGGCAGGCTTTAACCAGGTTGCAAGTGGCACTACTAGCATGAGGAGTCTTCACCGGCTAGAGAGGAAGCAGGTGAGGAAGGTGAGGAAGCAGGTGAGGAAGGTGAGGAAGCAGGTGAGGAAGGAGAGGAAGCAGGTGAGGAAGGAGAGGAAGCAGGTGAGGAAGGAGAGGAAGCAGGTGAGGAAGGAGAAGAAGCAGGTGAGGAAGGAGAGGAAGCAGGTGAGGAAGGAGAGGAAGCAGGTGAGGAAGGAGAGGAAGCAGGTGAGGAAGGTGAGGAAGGAGAGGAAGCAGGTGAGGAAGGAGAGGAAGCAGGTGAGGAAGGAGAGGTAGGAGAGGAAGCAGGTGAGGAAGGAGAGGAAGCAGGTGAGGAAGGAGAGGAAGCAGGTGAGGAAGGAGAGGAAGCAGGTGAGGAAGGTGAGGTAGGAGAGGAAGCAGGTGAGGAACGAACGAATGAGGCACGCAGGCCCGCCTGACATTTGGCCCTTCTAAGAACTTGTTTTTCAGAGTACCAATACCTGTTATCAATAATGCATGTTATGGATTTAAAAAAAGAAATATGAATTATAGTATAATGCATACACACATTATGTGTACACAATCATACACACTCACACACAAGTATACATACTCCTACGTTCTCATACACGTGACCTCATATACAGACATACGTGATACATATACATACACACATGCATCTACATACATATACAAGCATACACATACATAGAAGGAGAGGAAGCAGGTGAGGAAGGAGAGGAAGCAGGTGAGGGAATGTTCAGTGGGCAGGAAGGTCAATTCTTGATTCATTCAGAATAGAGCAATCAGCACATGACAGATGAAGTGCTGAACAATCAGCAATTGATGGGAGTAGTACACAGCAATCAGCACTTAATAGGTAAAATACAGAGCAATCAAATACTTTACCCATCAAGTGTTGATTGCCATTTTCAGAGTACTATTTTAGCAGAGAAATTTAAAAAAAAAAAGTTAAAATACACTTCCCCCCTCCCCTTTTACACAAACAAGCCAACCAATTAGGGTTTTGCTGAAAATGGATGCGTTGGGCAGAGAAGCACCAATAGTGCAGCCGAGCTATAAATCACAACAATGTGCCAAGTTTCTTTTAAAGGTGAATAAAGAAAAAGAAGCAGAAAATGACGAAAAAGAAAAGAATATGTGAAAGTTGATAAACTTCACATACACAAACAACTTACCCCAGCAACAGTTGCGTTGTAGGTGATACTCAGAGAAAAGATTCCAATCAGCCGGAACTTGGTGGTGGTGTTGTAGGAACAGCTGAAGTTCTGCTCTGGGCTGGGTTTTGGTGTCGTCGGAGCTGGTGTTGTTGTCGGCGTTGTCGGAGCTACAGTCGTAGGCGTGTCGTCTTTGCAGTGTTTTCCCTGCACATAATGGTGAAATTATTTATTTGATGACAAGTATCACCATTAAACAATGCGCTGACAACTAAATAATAAACACTGTATTTTTGTTTGAGAGCCAAAGTGTACATTTTTCACACAAAAAATAAAGGAAACTGTGTTGAATATTAAAGCCATAGGGAAAGACAATTTGCATGTCAATTGTCTAAGTATACATCTAACATGTCAATACTGTATGCTCTTAGAGCTCGCCTGTCAATAGTCTATACAACTAAACGGGTCAATAATGTATGCACTTAGAGCTCACCTGTCAATGGTTTTAAACATACAACTAACTTGTCAATATTGTACGCTCTTAGAGCTCACCTGCCAATGGTCTAAACATACAACTAACTTGTCAAAATTGTATGCACTTAGAGCTCACCTGTCAATAGTCTATACAACTAACCTGTCAATATTGTATGCACTTAGAGCTCACCTGTCAATGGTCTAAACATACAACTAACTTGTCAATATTGTATGCACTTAGAGCTCACCTGTCAATGGTCTAAACATACAACTAACTTGTCAATATTGTATGCACTTAGAGCTCACCTGTCAATGGTCTGAACATACAACTAACTTGTCAATATTGTATGCTCTTAGAGCTCACCTGTCAATGGTCTAAACATACAACTAACTTGTCAATATTGTATGCTCTTAGAGCTCACCTGTCAATGGTGTTAAACATACAACTAACTTGTCAATATTGTATGCTCTTAGAGCTCACCTGTCAATGGTCTAAACATACAACTAACTTGTCAATATTGTATGCTCTTAGAGCTCACCTGTCAATGGTCTAAACATACAACTAACTTGTCAATATTGTATGCTCTTAGAGCTCACCTGTCAATGGTCTAAACATACAACTAACTTGTCAATATTGTATGCTCTTAGAGCTCACCTGCCAATGGTCTAAACATACAACTAACTTGTCAATATTGTATGCTCTTAGAGCTCACCTGTCAATGGTCTAAACATACAACTAACTTGTCAATATTGTATGCTCTTAGAGCTCACCTGTCAATGGTCTAAACATACAACTAACTTGTCAATATTGTATGCACTTAGAGCTCACCTGCCAATGGTCTAAACATACAACTAACTTGTCAATATTGTATGCTCTTCGAGCTCGCCTGTCAATGGTCTAAACATACAACTAACTTGTCAATATTGTATGCACTTAGAGCTCACCTGTCAATGGTTTTAAACATACAACTAACTTGTCAATATTGTATGCACTTAGCGCTCACCTGTCAATAGAATAAATATACAACCTAACAATAATATATTTGCACATAGCACACCTGTCAATGGACTAAACATGGATAACACTGAAAAGTTTGTTTAGGACAAGTACAGAAATTTAAGTTATCTAGGCACATGGATAACATCCAAGCCAAACAATTTATTCAAGCCTCTGAGATGTGGTTTTACAGAAGAATCCTTAGAATTTCTTAGATAACCAAAAAACAGTAAGCCATGTTTTGAAAGTGGCCAGGGTTCGAAGACAACTTATCACAAACATCAGAAAGAGATGGCTATTATTTTTTGAGTCATTTTATGAGAAGCAGGAAACTGGAACATGTTGTGACCATCAGAAAGATCTGTGGAAATAGAGACAGAGGAAGACAATATGAGCAGACTGTTGACAGCCTTTTGTAATGGCATGGACAGGTGTCAACACACAAAATGATACAGTTGCAGATCAGACTGTGGAGAGGTGTGATTGTCCACGTCAGTCAGCAAGGCACTAAATAATGATGAATTGACTAAACATACAAACAACTCATGATTATAATCTAAAAATCTTATACCTTTTAGCGATTCAAACATTTAAATCTACCTGTTAATGGTCGAAACATACAATTCGATTGTCAATGTCCTAAACAAATATACACATTTTCCGACCGTGGACGAGACATTCACCACACCTGCCAGTAGACTAGATATGCAATTTACTTGCCAGTTGACTAAAATATTCAACTCCTTCACCAGTAGGCAGAACATTCAACTCCTTCACCAGTAGGCAGAACATTCAACTCCTTCACCAGTAGACAGAACATTCAACTCCTTCACCAGTAGACAGAACATTCAACTCACTTGCCAGAAGTCTAGACATTCAACTCCTTTACTGTTCAACTAGACATTCAACCACTTTGCTGTTCAACTAGACATTCAACCACTTTACTGTTCAACTAGACATTCAACCACTTTACTGTTCAACTAGACATTCAACCACTTTGCTGTTCAACTAGACATTCAACTCCTTTGCTGTTCAACTAGACATTCAACTCCTTTGCTGTTCAACTAGACATTCAACCACTTTACTATTCAACTAGACATTCAACCACTTTACTGTTCAACTAGACATTCAACCACTTTACTGTTCAACTAGACATTCAACCACTTTAATGTTCAACTAGACATTCAACCACTTTACTGTTCAACTAGACATTCAACTCCTTTGCTGTTCAACTAGACATTCAACTCCTTTACTGTTCCACTAGACATTCAACTCATTTGCTGGTGAACTAGACATTTAACAATCTTTCCAGCCATTCAAATACTCAACTTACCTGGAACAAAACTACTTGTATTCACAGACTGAATTGTGAAGTTGGACACAGCAGCTGCCACACTAATATTGTGTACTTCTGTGCTGTTGAATTTGAGTGTGCTGTTGGCATTGCACTGATATGACTCAGTTTTATTAAATGTGTCTTCAAGGCGAAGTCCCCTGTAGGTAATTGTCCCTGGAAAAATGAGTGGTTAAGATTGTCATAATTGTTGAATTAAACTTACAGATAGCAAAGCAAACATAGAGAAAATGACACACTCAAATAAAAGTACTAAAGATAAGGAAATGTGAAAATGGCAAAGGATAATACAACTGGCTTCAAACTTCAATTTCCCACCCTCTCAGCCACACACAGACACAAGTAAATTGCATAAGGTGACCTTTTGGCATTCTGAGGTGTTTCCTTCATTGTCGGAGTGCAAGGAACCAACAGATTAACCAGATTTGTAAAAAGGAGTTGCATGCAAAACTTAAAAGTCTTGGATTAAGAGTCTAGAACTGAATGAACAAACCAGAATTTTCTGCTGGAGTTTACAGCTCTTTAACTCTAAGAAGAAAAAGAAGAACACACACTGAGAAAAACAGATAACAGCACGACAAGAAAGTCTTTCTTCTAAACGCAACAAGTAAAAATGAAAATTGAAATGTTTATTAAAACAAACATAATGAGGTAAGTACTAAGGTTTGCACGCCGAGTGACTGCAAAACTTGATATCAGCAAAACTGTACACAAAGGTTGTTGACTCCCTATTTAAGGACATGCTATAATGAGATATGGTGACCATATTTTCTTTCCTCTTCATTTTTCCTTGTGAGAAAATTCTCAGCAATATGTGAACATCATTTGATGACCATTTTACGAAGCTGGGCCAATCTCTGTAAATGACAGGAAACCATTCCTATCACTTCTTCTATCTATTGCTTACGCATTACATGAGGATTTAGATGTATCTTAGAGGAGTTAGAGGTATCTTAGAGGAGTTAGACGTATCTTAAAGGAGTTAGGCGTATCTTAGAGGAGTTAGACGTATCTTAGAGGAGTTAGGCGTATCTTAGAGGAGTTAGACGTATTTTAGAGGAGTTAGGCGTTTCTTAGAGGAGTTGGACGTATCTTAGAGGAGTTAGACTTATCTTAGAGGAGTCAGACGTATCTTAGAGGAGTCAGACGTATCTTAGAGGAGTTAGACGTATCTTAGAGGAGTTAGGCGTATCTTAGAGGAGTTAGGCGTATCTTAGAGGAGTTAGGCGTATCTTAGAGGAGTTAGACGTATCTTAGATTAGTCAGACGAATCTTAGAGGAGTTAGACGTATCTTAGAGGAGTTAGGCGTATCTTAGAGGAGTTAGGCGTATCTTAGAGGAGTTAGACGTATCTTAGAGGAGTTAGACGTATCTTAGAAGAGTTAGGCGTATCTTAGAGGAGTCAGACGTATCTTAGAGGAGTTAGGCGTATCTTAGAGGAGTTAGGCGTATCTTAGAGGAGTTAGATGTATCTTGTCTTTTGCTACCGGTGTAGCTTGTGGTAATATCATTCTGTATTTCTCTAGTGTCTCTTTTGCTCCCTTCACACATCTCTTTTCTTGGTCGGTGTCTTGCCTTGTAGTCTGCTTTTTCTTGTCCATAGGATGAGGCTACCAGTCTCATGCCAGCCCTCCTCAGTGGCCTTTCTGGACATTTATGCTTATTTACAATGTTACCACTCACTGCTTACTTCAGGACCACAGTCATATGTAGACATCTGAGTTTCATATACACACCATAATTTTATTCAAGGTTACAGAATTGAAACAATCACCTACCATTAAAGGTTTCGTTGAAGAAGGCGCTCTGGTTGAGCTGTGCATAGGGAGTAACGCTCCATTCTTTACCCTCATCACTGAACTCAAACCAGACCTCGACTGTCTCAGTCAAGTTCAGCCTGATCACGGTACAGTTGCTTGAATTGGTGATCACACTGGCATTCTCAAAGCTTAGTCTGACTGGTTCCTGCACAAAAACAAACGAAAAAAGCTACATTTGCAAGCATAATGTATCACAATCAAGGCATCATTTAGTAAAAAAAAGGTAAAAAAAAATAAAATCATATTGGACGTTTTGGAAGTTTTTTTTTATGGTTTAAATTCTGGCAGAGCCTAATCTCACCATGTGGATCAACTTCAATCCTGGCAGAGCCTAACCTCACCAGGTGGATTAACTTCAATCCTGGCAGAACCTAACCTCACCAGGTGGATTAACTTCAATCCTGGCAGAGCCTAACCTCACCAGGTGGATCCATTTCAATCCTGGCAGAGCCTAACCTCACCAGGTGAATCTATTTCAATCCTGGCAAAGCCTAATCCTCTCAACGTGGATCAGTCAACATGGCGCGTCTCGGATAGTATTTCAACAGTGAAATGGTGGGAAATGCAAAAGCACAGATATGGAAATAAAATCTATTGCCGGAAGAGACGAGGCAGACCAAAACAAATCTGGTTACATAATTGGGCTGGCTGGGTGGTTCTAAAATATGTAAGCATCATATCCATTGCATCTTGACCAACAGAGGTGGAGGATCTGACAAGACGGTCAGTAGCAACCGCTGACCCAAAGACTCAGTGTTATGGGACTATGGTCATGATGAAGCTATAATTCCACAGCAGTTACTGCTACTGGGGTGCCAAGTATCGGACCTTGGTTGGTGCCCAATTAGGAAACAGGTTCAAATAATTTTGTGGTAAATAAAAAAAATAACACCCCAAAAAAATATTAATTCAGAAAAAAAAATGTAGACATAATTGTGTGTATGTATGGGAGAGAGAGAAAAAGAGAAAGATAGAGAGAGAGAGAGAGAGATATATATATATATATATATATATATATATATATATATATATATATATATATATATATACACCCCCGTGTGGCTTCCGGGCCCCATTGTGGGGAAAACAAGAATAGACCCACTGCCTTCCCAAAAGCATGTCGTAAGAGTCGACTAATTGGGGAGCTTCCTTTGAAGTCGGAGTGCATTTGCCGGAGAGGCAAGGAACCAACAGTCTGTATTCAGAGAATGAGATCTGTAAAACTGATGCACACGCAACACTCAGGTTCTGGAGCAGGACTGCAGTTCAGTAGTGGACGAGCAACCAGAACCTTCCGCCAGAGTTTAAAAACGCGAAGAAGAAGATATATATATATATATATATATATATATATATATATATATATATATATATATATATAGAGAGAGAGAGAGAGAGAGAGAGAGAGAGAGAGAGAGAGAGAGAGAGAGAGAGAGAGAGAGTGTGTGCATGCATGTGAGAGAATGAGAGAGATATAGACAAAAGGGGCGACAAACAGAAATGGTCAGAGAGGGAGACAGTCAAACAGATACACAGAAAGAGAGAGAAACAGACAGGTAGAAGAGGAGATAGACAGACAGACAGCAATACAGAATGCAATAATCAGCAATCAAAGCAAGTTTAAAAAGTAAATTTATAAAATCTCTGTCTGGTGTTATGTAAGGTTTGAAGAAGAAGAATGAACAGCTGAAGCACATAAGATGCTTACTTCCCCAGCCACACTGGATGTCAGAATCACTGAGCCATTCAACTGGAGCAGCAGGCAAGTTGTGTTGTCTTCCTTCACTTCAAACAAGCGGGCTTCAGCTGAAGTAAACAGAAAATTGTTTATATGAAAGAAACTGAGAACAGGGATAATGTGGGTTAATGTATCATTTGACTGGGACAGAGATACATGGGAGAGTGTGAGTTAATACAACAACTGACAGGGACAGAGATAAATGGGACAATGTGGGTTAATGTATAACAACAAATGACTGGGACAGAGAATCAACAGAGCAAAATTATTTAATGTAATACGTGGATGGGACAGAAGTAAATGAGACAGTGTGGGTTAATGTAACACCTGACTGGGACAGAGATACATAAGACAGTGTGAGTTAATGTAACAACTGATCTATGTGGGTTAACGTAATAACTGACACAGTACTGTGTGGGTTAATGTTTAATAACAACCGACTGGGACAGTGGGACAGAGGTAATTGGTGAAATGTGGGTAAATGTAACAATTGACGACAGTGTGTAGTACTGTAACAAATAATCTTTATCTGTGTGTTTAATGGCTTTAAAGTCATGAAGAACAGTCCTGGTTGCTCAACCACTTCTGGACTTAAGTCTTGTTCCAGAAAATGAGTTTTGCGTGCAAATCCATTTTGAAGATCACACTCATTTGCATGCAGACTGTTGGTTCCTCACCTCTAGGGCAGACACACTGTGATTTTGAAGATTACAAGCCTAATTAGTCAACTTTTACAATAAAATACTTATCCGGGGGTGAAGTGGGTCTGTTCTTCATGCCTCTCCCCTCCCCCCAAATGCATGTAACAAGTGAGTGAGACAGAAATATCTGGGACCATGTGGGTTCAGGCTCAAACTGACTGGGACATCAATAAGTGGGACACAGGTGTTAGCACAGCTTGACCTCAGATATCAGCATAATGGTAATGTAAAAAGGCAGCCAGTATCTTTTGTCTTCTTAGCGTTCACCATCTGTAACCCCTAGTGTAAAGTTGTGATTGTTTGTCCACTACTGAACTTTAGTCTTGTCCCAGAACTTGAGTTTTGCACATCCATTTTACAGATGTAGCTTATTTTACATGCAGACTCTTGGTTTCTTGCTTCTCTCAGGCAGAGGCACTGCGACTCGAAGGAAACACCCTTAATTAGTCCCCATTTATGACATGTTTATTGGCGAGAGAGGCAATGTGTCTATTCCCCCACCTCGCCCCTTTCCTATAAATCAGGCCTCTGAACTCATTCAGGAGGCAGAAAGTTTGACACTGCATATATCAAGCACCACCAAGTGTTGTCAGCTGGGACGGAGAAGACCTCGGCAACAGAATAAAACCGGAGATTGATATGTTTTCCTCACATAAAAAAATATGACACTAAAAAAAAAAGCGAAAAGAGTGTAAAGCAAAAGACAGAAGAGCTACCTGTGGAGGTTCCGCAACCCTATTTATAGGAAGAAAAAAAAAAAACGACACATGACCTCCGTCCCCTTTTCTTCAACAAGCATGTCATTAAAGGCGACAAATTAGGGTACTGCTGAAATCAGACGTATTTGGCAAAAAGTATAAAATATTGCAGCCTATCTGTAAACCAACAAGCAGGGAA